CCAAAAAAAAATTCATAAATCTGACCTGGCATCTCCCGTGGTTGCTTGCAGCTCATGGTCATGGTCATCTCCCTGTAAAAAGCCTCCCTCTTTTCGTCATCAATATTTGTTGGTGCCAAGCTTTGATGAGTCGAATTATTCAAACGACCTAAGGTCAACGTCGCCATGCTACCATTGCTGTTCACAAAACGCAGTTCAATGGCAGCAATTCCTAAAATTTACGAATATGATGCCAATTTAACAAAAAAATCACAGAGTCCTACCGGTACTCCTGATTCCACCTTGAGGTGATTTAACAAGAAGGTAGAAGATTGGTACATACGATTCTGGTTGTTTCTCGGGAAAAGGTAAAGGAAAGAACACTGAGCGGTCTCCATGTGTGCTTCCAGAACCGTAGTCTTCCTTGAACATATGCAGGATAACAGCTTTACAACAACCTATACTAGTTTTCCAATACCTTATATCTAGCTGAAGGCATGGCTGCTTGCATATGCTGATGTGTATAATAACTGAGCGGTTGCAGAAATTGTGCCATCGAGTTCGGAATCGAGTAGTTAAATACACCAGCAGGTGATGCTGGATCCCTTTGCAGAAACTCAAATCGAAAATTTTTAGATAAGTTAAAAGTTGCAGTCGAACTTGCGGCTTACTTGGACATCAGAGCAATCAAGTCTAGTCTGTGTGTTCTTCGCTAAAGTATCTATCAGCTGATTCAGAGTAACCTGATTCAGTCGCTTTTGGAGACATTCACTGAGAACTTCGCAAATTTCATGACCAGGTTTATCTACACCATAGACGGCTAAGAGGATGTGATTTTTGAACTTTTCAGCTTCTCTAAATTATGCAAATTTGAGAAATAATACATTACAGACCTAGACTAAACTCTTTTTCTGCTCAAATCGTAACCCTTAGAACTCACTCTGCAACTTTTTTCTTTTTCACAGTGATTTTGTTCATTTTCAGCGATGCTCCAAACGTTTCGACCGACGTATGCAGCTGCATGTACGAAACATTTCCATTTGACTCCCTTAAATTCACCTGCATAAAACTGCCCTCTGGTAAAGAAATATGGGTATTACCTTACAACATAGGTATTGGGTATGTTTCTTATCGCGAACTGCTCTAGCGTGATGCGCAAGGCTTCACAACCAAACGCAAGAGGATCTCGAGAGTTGCTGCGTAGCACGCGTAAACGTGGATGAACTTCGAACCTTTACGAAAACTTGCGCGTCACATATTACACACATCTTTTGAAAGCCTACCATAGTTGCTCTTGAAGTTTACATGCAAAATAGCCAGGCGCGAAAGTAAAACGAGCTCCGTGGGCTATATGAGTATCCACTTCATGGTCTTCAGACACTAGAAATATTTAAAAAATGTGCTTAGAAGTTTTGCCAAAGAACAAATAAACGAGCGACTGTTCCCCGGCAATATTTTAAATGTCTGTACCTGATGATGTATTGCTTCGATCCAGCGAACTATCATGTGCCGATATGGAATCATTCATATTAGTCATTAGGAGTGGATCACATTCCCGTAATTCGAACATGCGATTCAGCAAAAGCTCCTGAGAAACGATACATCGATTATATCAAGCACAAAACCCTTCTTTTTACCTGATTGATAACCCGAATAGTTTGGCGACATTTGCGCCAGGCTAACTCAAAAATACGGTCATGGCGTCCGTTTTCTCTACAAAATAAAACCATTTCATATGTCTTGTTCAAAAAAGAATAAGATGGCGACAATACCTTTGACAGAATTGCAACTTTATATTGTCATCAATTGTAAGTATCACCCAAAAATCGTACAAATGATCGCGTCGCAGTAGTTCGTTCGCGTCGCATGAGTCACTTCTGCCTATAAGTATCCATATGCAAAATTGGATAAGTAGCCTCTGCAAACCACATACTTCCACTTTTATGCCGAGTATAGCGTTCATATGCCTCTAAATCTTCCACCTAAAATTGTGTAATAATTATTCTAATTAAATTATTGTGAATCATCTAACCTGGCAACAATAATACATATTCGAATCAGCAACTCGGCGCAATACGCAGTACTCTAAGTACAAACCGTTCATTCTGTCCTAAAATATACAGAGTAGTTTGCAGACAACATGCGAAAATTCAATCGGATGCGGAGGTCAGGTCAGAATGACCGAATGCGATTTTGTATACCGTTTAACAAAGAGATAAATTCTGAAAGGTGATGCTATATCAAGCTTACATGTAAGAGGAACTCGCGATAGGGTTATCAACATCACGAGCCCCTTACAGAACAACTCCAGAATTTTTTCTTGAAAAAGAATACGATAGCCCTGATGTGCCAAAAAATTACATTAGGGGTCAGTTTATACTATGAGCGGGTGGTGAGAGGATACCACACTATTATGGAACAACCGCTATGCATGTGCAACGGGCCAGGCATTAGTCGTGTATGTTTGTACTTTAAAGATAATCTAATGGGATTCATAGAACTCTTTTGTAAATCGTTAAGAACTTTCTTGGCAATCACATGGAACTGTTCTTTACAGTGCCAATCATAAAACCAACCAATATCGTAGGAAACTAGCAGCTATTTCCCTTTAGTAAATCAGGAAAAAAGCTGGTTTACCTTTAGGCGGTCCATAGCTTCCTCGCACTGAATCACAAGTGGAAAACGCCTAAGGCGCGTTTCAAACTGGCCAGATTTATACTGAAAATCAAAAAGAACACTTCTTTCGTGAAAGTCATGACACACAAATGCGTGCGCAAGAGACACGCTCGTCGAAGAACGAATGTTAATACAATGGCTGCATTGAAAATTTCTTTTGTAACTATTAACTAACTTCTTTTTCTCTGGCGCATTCTCCTTCTATGTACTTTGAGATCTCTTTGATCTTTTCTACCGTTATATTTGGTTTCCTGCTGTCCAGAAGTACAGTTTCCAGCTCAACAAGCCGATTTAACCTGTTCATCAATTCGCTAACCACTGCTCTCACCTAGAAAGAAAAAAGAAGGTAATAGACGACTCTCGACTAAAAACAAGCCCGACTTACTTTTTTGGGTAATTTTGCCATAAATTTAATCTGTCTTTCAGAGTGAGTATCTTCATCGGACTCACTATCACTATCATCATGGCGATTTTCTTCTTCGCTTGGCCATGTCATGACGTATATATCCAATCGGACAACAACACTGGCCACATCTGTTATTCTTACCTCTACGCCAGGAAAAGCAACCTAACAGAGATTTTCACACACCAAAATCACTCTTAGGCTTCATTGTGCTCTCCTTCATCACTTCATGCACACAGGTGGGTAGAAACGTCAGCGGAAATGTATCCATTGACCTGTCTGGATATTCAACAGAGCACATGAAGTAAATGAAAAGAGGGAAATCACTTCCATGAACATTCTGAAAAGATACAAATCATATTGAGCGCCTTCACTTATCCTCAAATCACCTTAACATGCTTATCCTCAGCATTCTTCATCTTCTCAATTTCATTTTCCCCATTCAAGGCGTACCTGAGCCGAAACTGATCCAGGGGACGATCCGATCTTCTCAGTGAACCTGCCGCAGAAAAAGCCTCGTCGGGACTACGATCTTCACCTAGAAATTCATTTCTCAAATGAAATTGGGTGACCACGTTCATTACGGCAACCTGATTGCTCGGGTTGAGTCGTACTGTTTTTCCTTTCTATGAAGGTAGCATCCCAACCTCGTGGTGCATGTTCACCGAAAAGTCCATTGAAAGATGCCATTTCTGATGTTATAGGATATCTTCCATCGCTTTCTTTGCTTAAAAAACTTCTTATGACACCTCTCAAAAATCTTGAAAGGAGAAATCATTGTCCTGATAGTGAGCGGTGCTCACCGTTGCGGGGTGTAGTAATAATACGGTAGTCCCGGAACTTGATTAAATGTACCATGAAGGATCTTCGCAAACGTGAGCTGCACTTTGTCTTCGCCGCAAAACGTTGTGTTTGGGTCTTCCTCCAACTGAACATACCGTATGGACGTTTGAGAAAGAAAACTGGTCCCTACTCCCCACGACTGCTCTCGTGAACGAATTCGCGGTGAGTTGCGCGGATTCTTATTGCCACACTATTGTCGTTGTAATTTCGGATAGATTTCATCTCAACTTATCCAAAGAAAAATTTCCAACCATTACCTTTGCTTCCTTATTCAAATGCGCACAGAATTTGTTCAAATTCTTTGCCACTCCATCGATTTCAAGACTTGTGCACTCACACTGCTCATCGAGAATGCTGCGGACAACAGCTTGGTCGATTGTGATACCTACGAATAGTTCACCGAATTACGAAAAGGAGGGATCAGTTTTCTTATAATTCTAGAACTGCCCCTAGAAATGACCTGAGATAGCCGATATCAAGCGTGGAATGAAATTAAAACGATTCAATGTTTAGAAATTTGAAAGAAACAGACATCTTTAGATAATTCACAGTTAAATCATTGAAGGATACTCAACTAGAAATCTGGTTGAATGCTAAAGACTATCTCATTCAAATGAGCAAGTAGCGGTTGCGAAATTCGGGAAAACTGGTGAAAAAGAAATTGAGAGAAAACCTACCAGAATGTACAGCAGTGTACAACGCAGAAACAACGGCTTTACTGATCACTACCTTAAAAATGAAGTTAGCTGTGAGATATTATGTAAATTACTCGGAGATCTGACTTTGAGATGTTATAAATCTATGTTGATTAAAGAACTTTTGATACATTTTACCTCATCGACGTTATTGATAATGTCGTTTAGTCGTCCTGGTTTATAATTTTCTCTCAACACTTCTAGACAGCGAGTACTTGACACCCATTCCTTGTTAGGGATCTCTAAAATATGAGATGATTAAGAAAGAATGTTAGTGAATCTCTAGTTGTCTCACAGAAAAAATATTATTAATATCCTTCCCTCTAATTTTTGTCCTTTTTTCTAAATTTTGCTGCAACTAAAAACATTTTTTGATAAAGATTGTGCAGGTAGCACACTTTAAATCACTCTCTCAACGTATCTATTTACAAATTTCTAACATACATCATTACCATCACCAGGCATGTTCTGCGATACGCAACTGACCTCTACATGATAGATTAAAGCCAAGTGCACTTTGCACAGTGGGATCCCGCCGAAATTGAGCGGCTGACAATGAAGGCACAAATAATTTCATTGTCAATTAAATTACATAATAATCGACACTTCATCGTGAGGTGTTACGAAAAGAGGATTAATTTTATAGAGCTGTAGCCAGATAGGCTTTGTTGATTGTATTTTAAGATGTTTTCCCGATAACATAAATTTGACTATAAAGAACAAAGCTGGCATTCTCACCAGGTTCCTGTTCCTGCTCGTTGATTTTAGCGGAAGGTGAGCTTGAGAAGCGGCGATCCAACACACGTGGAGATTTGGGCAATTTTCGCTTTGCTAAGTCCGTAGCTAGTATTGGTTCATCACAAAGGCAGAACAGTAACGGGATAGCATCTACAAGAACAGCTTTGACCCGAAGCATTAACAAAGAAGTTTCCTGTAGAACCAAGCTGTGTAGTCCAATACTACGTCTACTTATTATCATACATTTTTCTCGTCAAATTCCAAATTTGAAAAAAAAA